GCCTGGCCCACACATGACTACAGTTCATACAGCTCTAGCTGAGAAGTCCTTCAAGGGTGTTGCCCTGCGTGAGAATGGCAGGCTTGTACAGATTCATGCAGGTGAGTTTTTCCGCAGTATGGTAGAGAATCTGAGACACAGAATGACTTCCACAACCTCCTCTCATGTCAGCACAAGAGAAATCCCATTACATGGCCGGGAGGCCCGGGACAATCAGCTAATCCAGGACATGAAAGTTATCCATCCTGGAAGTTGGCCTGAAGAGGAGTTAGACGTACAGTATGGGGACGTAGAGGTGCTACGTTTGTGCGAAGTGCTGAAAGTGGACAGAAGAGAGACTGTTCAGGGCTTTCGCGAATACAAGGAAACCAGGGCATCCCGTACACCTGCTGCCATGGAGCCTCTACTGAAAGCAGTCCGAACCATCGCTGTCTCCACTAGTGAGTGTGAGCGGGCATTCAGCTGCATGAACGATATCCTTACTGCAAAAAGGAATGCTCTCTCTGTCAGCCGACTGTCCAGCCTGGTTTTCATTAAATGTAATGGACCATCACTAGGACAGTTCAATCCGGAACAGTATGTGAGGTCCTGGCTGGCAAAGGGAAGGAGAAGTGCTGATGAAAGAGCCTGTCCAGCTCCAGCCCCTGATACTGATGTCCCCAAGGCCTTCTGGAGCCTTTTCTAACAATGTGAAGTATATTGCAAAGCAGCTCACCCAGTGAGAAGACTTTTGGCATAATGTGCCGATTTGTACAGATCCTGGAGATAGAAGGACTTCAGACCAACCAGGGAGTTATCTGATCAGCTTGGTGTTCAATGTAACTCTTTACCATGGCTCAGACTTTGTTACTTGCAGTTACAGTTTCTCATTTTAGATTGTGCAAATTTTGCATTTGTTTTGACATGTTCTTTGTTCATGCTCTTTATCATTTTTCTGAGTTGGAAAGTTAGATTGCATCATAGTTTACTTTATACATATTTGTATTCTTCAGTGGTGAAGTATATTGCAAAGCAGCTCAGCCATGTGAGAAGACTTTTGGCACTTTTTCGTTTTCTGAGTTGGAAAGTTAGATTGCATTCAAAATGTACAGAAATACTTAATTTTGTTAAAGCTTTTTATAAAAAATGCTTCTGACCAGAGCTTTGTTTCCTTGTCATTAATGTTGAACACCACCAGAGGGGCTCTCACCTGAAAGGTCTCTGCTTCATGTGTCTTCAGCAGAAGATCTAGACTTTGATTGCTATATTTTCAGTTAATATTGACCTTACTGAGCTTTAGCCATATCCGCTGCCTATCATAAAAAATGTTAAGTACAGTGAACCTTTCTAAAATATACAGTAGTAAAGAGACAAACCCACCAGCATTATAGTAGCCAAATTCTTGTTTGTGGGCTGTATATATAAAATTGACTTGAAAAAGTTGCTGATTTTAGAGTACTGGCACCTTTTTCATTCCAATTCAAGCACTGCTCAACACCCATATGAAACAGAACTGTAAGCATATTTTTCTTTATGGATATTTTACAAATCACTTAAACTGTATTCTTGTTTTGTCATATAGTATTTCATAACTGTTTTTCATTTATTCCCTTTGGCTGTCCATCTCATAATGTTCACATAGAAACTAGCTGTCAATAGGAAATATCAATCAGAAGAATTATAATTTCTTGCAAAAATCTGTCACAAAAAGAGCTTGCACATTTAAATTCAGGTGTTGTTATGGCAACGTCAGTGGCCAAACAGCCACATTTACTGCTGCAAATACGTTCAAACATGCTGTCGACACGTAAAGCAGTGGCAACTATGCCACCATTTCAGCTGACTTTTTCTCAGAAATACTGTCACATAACATCCATATCCACACTAAATGATACATTAATTGAAACAAAACACAGTATAAACTGAGGAGTGACTCTCGTGAGTTTCATTTATTTTCTTCACTCTGCTGGGAAACTGCTCTCATGTCAAGAAGCATCAGATCAGTGCATGCACTGCATCGTCCAATCCGTGAGCGATACACAGTAAGGGGGCGGGGCGAGTATCTGAGGATTTCATCGAAGGATGGTCTGGTGGTTCCTCGGTTATCGCTCCTCCATTATCGCTCCTCGATCCTCGGTCCTCCGGCAGAAATAAGAACCATGGGACGGTACTCAAGATAGCACAGACATATCAACTTCCGGTGAGACCGAGGACCGAGGAGCGAGGAAATTAAAATAGTCGACCTGAGACAGGGCCCCTTGGGTAGCAACGCAGTGTAGGCGGGGCGATCGGCTTTTTGGCGGGCTTTTTGGGCAGAGCGACGCTGGGTAAAACTACAGGCGTCATCTTCAATGCGACACAACTCACAAAACACACACAACAATGGAGGATGTGGAAGCGATCGTTTACTTGTTTCTTGGTGTGTGGCTCCTCCGTTTACAAAAATGCTGTGTATAAAAATGCTGCAAGCTTGCTTCTAGATATATATGCGACGCTAGGGATGATCTCGCGCGCGATCTTGTGACGATTCTCTCTGACCAATCAGCAGTCGAGAGTGTTGACGTCACTAGTTCAGCCCTGGCCCTGGCCTGATAGAACCACGATTTTATGGGGCCGGAAAAAGAGGGAAAAAGTACCCGCTAGCCGGTGCTACGATATATGGAAAGGCCATCAAAAACTGGCCTGGCCGCTTGAGGACGATTAAGGACGCTTAAACGGGGCTACCCGCTGCAGTGGAAATGCGCCATCAATGGGTCGGGCCGGCTCTGCTTATTGGTTTATTTGATCTGACTTTTTGCATGGCCTTACTTTCAGAACACCTTTTACATTAAGAGATTGTCATTCTAAAAACACCATAAACTTAATCTCATACATTAACAGTGAGTGAAGTACTACTATCTTCGTAAAAGCAACATTTTTGTATAGCTGCTATTATAATGGGGAGCATCATATCGCACAGTCCATTCGTTTGTGATATTGTGGCCTTCATCATGTTCGCTTTCAGAAAGATGGAATGCACCATGCACCAGAATATTTGAGGGAAAATGATGGGACCCTTGCAGTATCTTCCACATCATTAACTTTGCCTGAAGCTCTATCTCATAGAGATACTGTATTTCTGATCTTACATGTGACCAGGTGGGCCCTGCTTCTTCCCATAACTTTGTGTGAGGTTATAACATTATATATATTTCTTAACCCTTATGTTGTGTTCGGGTCTCCCGTGACCCGTTTCAAGTTAAAACTATATAATAACTACGCTCTAGTTTTTTTTATCGGAACAAGGCTTCATGATCCTCCACATCAGCTATATAAACACTAAACTGATTTTGACAATTTTAGCCAAGTCTGAAGGTCTCTAAAAAAAAAAGTGTATCATTTGGTGTTCGGGTCTGGGAAGACCCAGCAGAATTGTTGTGGGTCACTCGGGGTCAAATTTGGCCCAATCAAGATTCATCTTGAGAAGCCTTTCTGGTCTTCCATCCCTCTGCCCCCCCTCCCCCCATGGGAACTCGACCTTTCTCAAAGAATATGTACACTAACACTTGAACCTGAACAATACAATTACAACAGGATTGTACGGTTATGAATGCATAATAAGTTAGTTATGATGTAGTTAAAACAATATTGGATGATAGTAATTTTTTTGTTGTGTTTTGGACTGAAATAAATTGACCCGCGAACACCATGAATGTTAACAGCTTTCGAACACAACACAACAGTTAATCCAATTTGTATTTTGTAAGAAATTGACCAAGAGAAAATCTAATGAGGTAAATGTAAACCCATAATAGATTACTATCCCAGGGTAACGCTGTGAGTTCATACTTTTGTGGGGTTAACTTTGATTAGACAGCCACAGTTTACCATGTGATTCGCTATTTGATTTTAAGAATGGGAGGAAGTACTATCCCAAAAGGAAACTTGAGACTTCAAGCCATGCAATGAAAGTACATTAATCTGTCCAGCTGGGGTCACTATTGTGATGTGTTTGAGAAGTAAATAGTCATTAAATCAGCTGCTTATTGTTATTTAAATGCATTTACCATGTGTAAATACATGCTTTATGAGTTTACTTTAATATTCAATTGAATTATAATGGATGTGACTGATTGTAGTCTGTATGAATATGAAAGATAACATAATTCAAATTAAGTTTGATAAGGAACTACATCCACAATAGATACTTGTACAGTACCTTTTGTAAGGGATAATAACCATTGACTGAAGTAATGGAAACCTTGTACAACTGTAAAATAATAAATGCAATGTAGACTGTATCACGTTATGAATTAAAAATTATTTATTTGCACAGTTTTCTCTCGGGGTTCCTTATTTATGCTGCGTTGTATAACTTTCAATGTTACAGCTTTGTAATCAACATCAGATCACGCCGCTTTACACAAGGGCTTTTTATTAAACAAACAAACCAGATTGTTCCCACAGGATTAAAAGCCAACACAAAATACGAGGCTGATAAAGAACATGTCACCCCTTCGCCTCCTGATACAAACAGGTAACAAGTCCCCAGGTCCTCCCCTTCTCCTCAGACAGAGTGGACGAGTCAGATAAAAGAAGATTAGCTATTATCTATTTGTTGTATCTTACAGCCCAACTATTGATTTCAAAATGTTGAAACTATAAGAGTAACACTGGCTTTCTGTACAAAGATCTATATGATGTAAACATTAAATGAATATGAAATGGACTATGCAAATAGAAATAAAATGCTGGAATCGATTACATTACATGTCACTTATTAGACGCTTTTATCCAAAGCGACTTACATACTCAATACTGTGGGCAATCCCCACAGGAGCACTTTGGGGTGAAGGGTCTAAGGGACACAACGACATGCTGACTGCAGTGGGGTTTGAACCTGTGACCCCCTGACCCCAACACCAACGCACAACCCACTGCACCACACACCTCCCTTTATAGAGAAGTGCACTGTAGATCCCTCCAAAGTGAATCATCACTGGCACAAATCCACAAGCATACAAGTTACAAATCAAGGTATAATGGGATCAGCAAAAACAAGCTCATCAGTAATCTTATTTAACATGTGATATAGCACTCGGGTAGAGGCTGCATTAAAGGTGATGGACGGAAGACTGTCTTTATCACCTAAACAAGTGACAGAAGAGCTCCCCAGCCGTAAGAACACACTTTCAAAACCCCACACACATTAGGAGTGCATATGATAAATGAAGTTACAAAAATCTGTATTTCCGTTTGATTTGAATATGAAATATTTGATCAGCATTTAACTGTTTCAACAGGCTATTTATGTCACGGTCACCTTCCCATATCTGGTCTTGACCATCTTCTTGATCAGATCACTGACTCTGCCTGGGGCCACAGATGGCTTAATATATCTCTTCACTCCAGATGTAAGTTTGATATTAGCTTTATTTTGAATGAATGATTGACAGTAATGAATACAAATGGATGTCTAACTAACAATCAGTATGTTCTTTGCAGTGGGAAACTCTTAAGAATCCTGATGTCTGGTTGGATGCTTCTACTCAGATCTTTTTCTCTTTGTCTTTGGCCTTCGGAGGACTTATTGCTTTTTCCAGTTATAATGTTCAGAAGTAAGACCTTTATAAACACAGCATTATGTACACAATAGAAAAATACTATAAAATAAAACTGAAACGTTGCTTTATCTTTGCAGGAATGATTGTGAGAGAGATGCCCTAATTGTTGGATTGGTGAACAGTTTCACGTCAATATATGCATCCATTCCAATTTTTGCCATTCTTGGATTTAAAGCTAATGAAAACTTCAATAAGTGCAGAAATTGGTATGTATCATAAAGGGAATTATGCTGTCAAAGTTTGTGTTTTTACTTATAATATTTATCAATTAATCAGTACACAGTTGATCAATGAAAAGATGTCCCCACTAGTTTTCATTATAAGATGTGATGCTTGTACTAGTAGTGTTAACTCATTTCCTTTGGCTTTAGGAACATACTAAGATTGACTAATTCCTTCAACATTGGGGATGAGAACATAACTCTGGAAAACTATGATGACTGGTTTAACTATTTCAACAATACTGATCCCTCAGAGGTCGAAAGCCTCAATCTAAAGACGTGTAACCTACAGACGTTCCTGGATGAGGTACAACGCATCTGTTACTTTGATAATAATTGTAATCGTTTTCTGATGAACCTTTGTGAGGTTGTTGTGTAAGAGATAACGTCTCAGATCCTACCTGTAGAGTGCGTCTGGAACCGGACTGGCCTTCATTGTGTTCACTGAGGCGGTGATACATATGCCGGGCTCTCAGGTGTGGGCGGTGCTCTTCTTCATCATGCTCTTCAGCCTGGGCCTGTCCTCCATGTTTGGGAATCTAGAGGGGGTCCTTACTCCTCTGCTGGACCTGAGCATTATTCCAGCCTGGATTCCTAAGGAAGTGTTCACAGGTAAACCAAAATATCTGAGGAGTTTATATGACCCATCACTAGTTTGTATTATAAAATTACAAAAACTGCAAGTAGGGATTATTTTCATTAACAGTTCATCTGTTGATTATTTTCTAGATAAATCAATGGTTCTATAAAATGTCATAAACCAGTGAACAATGTCCATTCCCGTTTCTCAAAGTCTGAGGTGATGTCTTAAAATGTCTTGTGTTGTCAGTCTAAAACCAAAAATAATGAGTTTAATATGATGCAAAACAAAGAAAGGCAGGAAATCTCCATATATGAGAGGCGGAAAACTGTATTTTAATCAATATTAGCATGAATAATGATTTTGCCCTTCGAATTCAAAAGTGTCTTTATCTGTCGGAATGCACACACTTTCAATTCACTGTTAAACAAATACCTTTGTATGACTTCATTCACCATTATTAATCATAACAGCATCAAACTAAATCCATTTCCTTTATTGTCTTTTGTGTCTAAAAAGGGCTAATTTGCCTCACCTCCTTTACTGTGGCTCTCATCTTCACGCTGGGCTCTGGAAACTACTGGCTGGGGATTTTCAACAACTACGTGGGATCCATGCCTCTGCTCATCATAGCCTTCTTTGAGATCATCAGTGTGGTATACATCTATGGAATAAACAGGTGAGGTTGTAATGTATGGCATTATTATACTTGCAATATGAAAATATAGTTCAGTGATTTGACTAAGGGTCTCCTTTTCCCTCAGGTTTAATGATGACATTGAATGGATGACAGGTAGGAGGCCCAACATCTTCTGGCAGGCCACATGGCGCTTTATCAGCCCTTTGATGCTTCTGGTGGTTTTTGTGGCATACGTTGTAGTCGAGGCTGAAAAGAGACCAACATATAACGCCTGGAACCCAGATTATGTAAGAAAGTTTCAACGGTTTCTTTTCAACATCATTATGTAGTGTTCGACCTGCTGGATGTTGAGAAAAGACATTGACTTACTCCTTTCCCCCAACAGGTGAACTTCCCCCTTGCTGACGTTCAGCACTATCCTGAATGGGTTTACGCTATCTGTGTGCTCCTATCTGTCCTTCCTATTGTATCCATTCCTCTTGTAGCTTTCTACAGATTCATGGGCTTCTTGAAGAAGTACATCATGAACAGGAACAACCCAAATCCATACCAAAATTAATCATTTCACAGAGAATTGTAAACGAGCTGTTTTATCTGATTGGCGGTCAGGACTACCAGTAGCACATATTTGTGTGATGTACTGTATTGTTATTTAATAACGTTTGTGATTTTTTCATACCATTTTCAATCTTTTGTATATTAGGGTATTACAAGTCTCTAATTACATAACATTATTGCTAAGATAACATATCGGCAGTCGCAGCTGTAATTTCAATGTTTTCGCTAACCTAAATCAAAAAATGTTTTTCTTAATTTACACAACTGTATTTATATTAGTGAAGGAAATGTAAACACTGTCAACTAGATGAAATCAAAGCAAGACAATATCCCTGAGAAGAATATTAAAATCAGGATAGCAATGTCTAGAGCTGAATATCAGGCTTTGTTAACATTTGATTAAAGACAGACTTTACAACTCCTGTGTTGGCGTTTTAAATGGGATGAAAGACAGTGATGGATAACTGTTTGAAATGCTTTGTGATAAAGACATTATTGATTCTCAGATTGGTTTTCAGTGCAAATGCTTACAATCTCTATGAGTTTATGTTAGCAGCCATTTTGAGTTATAGGTACTGTTTACATCAGGGGTCCCCAAACTTTTTCCTGTGAGGGCCACATAACTTTTCCCTTCTCTGATGGGGGCCGGGTCAGTTTGTAACAGAAAAAGTGTGACGATCGCATGGGTGTCTAAACGTAAACATTTATTGTTTTCTAGAAAGCCACACATAACCAAATGTTAATAACCCTTTCCGGGATCTTCACAGAAAAAAAGTCAGGAAATAAATAATAACACTATTAATGAAATAAATAACACTATTTATGAAATAAATAATAACCAAATAACCCTCTCTGGGTTCTTCACAGAAAAAAAGTCCATTGAAAATTACTGTAACTTTCTGTTGTGTCGTGCACAATCTTAACAGGTAAAAGATTAGCTTAGTTGTCAGAGCAGAATCTCTCAAAATAAACGTGGATTTACGTAAAAAAAACAATTTTTTCGGGGTTCGGGTGTTTTGTTTGATTTTAAACAAACAAAGTCTTAGCTTTCAGAATATGAAACTTTTATTTCCAATTTATTTATTTCTCACTCGCAATCTGCTCTTCCGCAGCGCCGCCCCCCCCCCCCCCCCCCCTCACTCCGCTGAAATTATGAATGTAAGAGTATAGTAATCATAGATAACACCGCAGGGTCCGTTACAGTTTGTTTTCATCTGATTTCAATTAAACAAAGTCTTGGCTTTCAGAATATTAAACTTGTTTCGGCAAATTCAGATGATAAATACAACTTTGAAGCTTCGGCATAATTACAAGCGGAGAACGGAGTAACTTGACGTCACAGCAGGCATAACAACAGCCGGTGTTTCTCGTGAGTGTTTTCCCCAGGAAACAAACACAATACACACAAACGCAAAATTACACAAGCACACACACTCACACACACACGTATACACACACACTCGCGAGCTTCCCCTCCAAACAAAAATATCTTCCCTCGGTAGTATTTTGATCATTTGCTCCGCTAATAATCAATCAGATCGATGGATTCCAGAGAAGAGACAACTTTGAAGGCCTTTTTCTCAAAATGATGACTCGGTGACAGTCATTATATAATGTGACATATTTCGCTTAATATTTGAAGTACAAAAACAATCCTGATATCATTAGAAAGCTAGGAATATCCTCTTTCCAACAGTGTATTCAACTCAAAAGGTGTCTTCGGGTCAATGCGACTGATTTAGATAGAGCAGGTCACAACATTTTGACAGGGGTTAGTCTAGGATTCGCGTGGCCAGACTGAAAAAAAATTTTAAAAAAAAAAAAAAAAAAAATCACAATGCGTCTCTGGTATTGTTCAGGGGGCCGGGCCAAATGTGGAGGCGGGCCGTACCCGGCCCGCGGGCCTTAGTTTGGGGACCACTGGTTTACATCATCATCTCACTGTGAACAATATGCATCATCTTGTAAGTCACATTCCCGTGTGTATAAGACATATCTTTTGTTACGTTATATTATAATAATGCTCCTACACTCTGCTAGCTGCAAGACTGATGTAGTGTTGCATGATGCAACCTTTATGTAACTTTCTTTGCATGCCAACAGTGCATGTGGATGTATGAGAGTAGTAGGACGGGGCTTGTGTGGCCGAGGCTGCATGCGTGTGCTCACTGACCATGCGCATGTGTGTATTTTGAGCCATGCGAGTTACACAGTTGTCCTTTTCGTGGTGTGGGTGGACAGTGATATTGTCCCCCCGGTGTCACATGCTTTGGAATAATGCTGGCTGCCTTTGTTGTCCTCTGCCTGTTCTGCTTTTCTGGCACTTTCATACAATGGTGCACTTGAACACTGTGATGTTATTAAGCCTTTCAAACTACTACAGCTTGAATTCCAGCTCTCAGGAAAGCATCCCAATGTAGGGTACATGGCACAAGATACATCATCGAGGAACAACAGCAAGGATTGAGTGTAACATCAGAACAAAGGTGATGACCCTGCAATGACCAATGAGTGCTTTAATTACTGCCGGTTTGAGAATGCATTTATAGAGCTATGCAAGGAGTCAAGCTAATGCTATTGGGAAGTCTGTTTGTTGGACACGTCTTTTCCTCATTTTCTTATTTGTTCATTATGTGATTTGTGTTGACAAATGGCAGGCGTTATTTATGTCTTTTATATTTAAAAAAGAGTACTTAATAACAGTGTGTTGCAAACCAGCTGAATAGGTTAAAGCAGTTTGCTGAGGTCAAAAGGACACTGTATATTACCTTCAGGTGCATACAGTTGCTGGTTAAGACAAATAAGTGTATTTCATTTGTGAAGACAATATCATCATAAATTGGTGTTTGGCGATCTCTAAAGAATTGCTTCTAGCATGTTAATAAGTAAAACAACAGTTATCCCAAGCATAGTAACCTTGGTGTTGGTCCAAGCATCAAGTGATGCTGTGACCTTCAATAATGACACGCTGTAATATCAACAATGGGACAAGAGTGCAACCGTTCTTTTGACCTTTGATCCTACACTAGGAAATGTCCCAGCGAGCAGGTGCCTCCCAGTGTGGGGGGGTTGTGGTGGAGTTTGAGTCTGGCGACATCAGGGATGACAGAGCCAAAAGAGATGTGAATATACCAGGTGAACTCAACTTTAAATCCAACTAGAACTTGTGCAACATATTTGCAGCAAGCATCATGTGTGCTCATTCATTTTGTATGCCTTTCCTCACAAGGTTCAGCTCTAATCTACCTCAAGGGTCCCAAGTTTCTCATCTATGTCAGTGGAGCGTTGTCAATGTGGGTAAGAATCTTTCCCTGAAAATACAGATTCCTGGAGAAATAGATAAGACTTAAAAACGTAAAGAATGGCAAGGTTGTCGAGATGTGACAGCCTACAAAGATGTCTTAGCAAAGCAATACATGATGAAACTATTTTATGTCGTGTTAAACAGGAAGACCACATGTGGCACTTTGCAATTTCTGTGTTCCTGATTGAGCTGTACGGCCGTAACCTGCTGCTGACTGCGGTGTTTGGGTTGGTAGTGGTCTGTGCTCCTGCTCGGGGCTTTGATTGGAGACTGGGTTGATCGCAATCCCAGGAATAAAGGTATGCGACAATCTCACACCCATTTGAAAATGTGAGCATGCAGTATATCATAGAGCAGTCCAGAAGTCTGCTGGTTTCCTATCTCCCCAGGTGGCAAGGTGCATTCACACGATATCTCAAGTGTAAATCAGTCCCTGATTTGATAGCTACACTCAACACCTGCAGGAATGCAGGCTCATATCTGTCAAGGCTAGCATTCATTTTGCAGAGAATATATCATCAACTGTTTTTGTTTGTTTCAAATTTCAGTTGCACATGCGTCTCTTTACATTCAGAACATCTCAGTGACAGTAGCATTGTGCTCATGTTGGTGTTCTCTTATAAGCAAAGGATTGAAGAGATGGCTAACTGTGAGTAGACACTAAATGTTCAAAAAACGACATTTCATAACTTGATACCAAACCGAATACTCACCATGATTATTACACAGAGGAGTTATTGCTGCTGTTGCTCCCTCTGTCCTGACTCCTGTGTCCTTGTTGTCGCTGCTTCTGAGCTTGTGGCTACTCTGTGCAGTCGTAGTAACATGTTGCATCACAAAACTCACACAAGGTGGTTTATTATACGGTGGTGATCATCCTGGTTATCACAGGCTTCAACAGAGGTCATCTAGCTGGTGAGGGGATTTGTTTTCTGTCAGTGCACATTTGTTGCATTCCATTTTTGTCACATATCAGTGGCTATGCTTCAGAAAAACTGAAATCACTGACGTGTCGGCCTTTTTCTGCTCAGTGACCGTCCTCTAGTGGAAGCGCATTAACCTCTGTGTCTTTGATCCTAACAAAAGGAATGAATGCAACCATGAGGCGGATTGATCAGGAGACTAACATCCTGCCCCCACTAGCAGTGGGACAGGTCACGACCCTGGCCTCCAGTGTCGTTGGCTGTGGCTTCATCCTGGGCTGGAACCTTGTGTCTCTCATTGTGGAGTTCTTCTTCTTGTCACGGGTGTACCGCATCGTCCCTGCTCTTTCAATCAAAGCACCGGTGCTGGAGGAGGATCAGGTGTTGTCACAAGGTATGGATTGAGTTATTTAAAAAAAAAAAATATATATATATTTGTGATTTTTACCTTTAGAATGTAATGCGATTACTAAATTGTGCATTAAGGCCAGTGAGCATCATGGAGTCATTCACCTGCTAAGTGAGCTTTTAAATACACAAATGTTTGTACATCTCTAGATACCTCATTACTCCTCCGGCTCCGGTACAAGTCCGGACTGCGGAGGTTTGTTGATAAAACCATGTCGTCTTCTTCTGACGACATGGCTAACAGTGTGTGAATATTTAGCTTCCTAGAGCGGCACGGCTGTGTGAAAGGGTGAATGACGACATGTAGAGCGCTTTGTGGGGTCGTAAAGACTGGGTAAGCACTGTATAAGTATACACTGTATAGTCCATTTAGCATGTGGCAGGGGAGCAAGTATCTAGACTTATGGCTGTAAGCTAGGGTGCAGTCTCAAACCCTGAACTGCACTCAAGCTTGCCATGTGAACAGAGGCTAATTTGACATTATAGCATGTAAAAACTCCACTGACCACAGTATGAGGTCTAAAGCCACCAGACTCAGGGACAGTTTTATTCCACAGGCCATATGGCTGTTAAACACCTGCACATCCATCTGTTTGCAACGTACAAATTATTAATATATCATATTCCAATTACATGTACTCTAGCATAGCCATCAACTTTGGTACTTAAAACATATAAAGTAATTATCGTAGGTGACTTTAATATTCATGTTGACGATGATAAAAATAGCCTTACTGTTGCATTTAACTCTCTATTAGATTCTGTTGGTTTTTGTCAGAGTGTAAATAAACCAACCCACTGCTATAATCACACTCTCGACCTTGTTCTGATTTATGGTATTGCAATCGAGCAACTATTAGTCGAACCGCATAATCCTGCTTTATCCGACCATTTCTTAGTAACTTTTGAAGTACTGTTACGAGACTACAAAGCATTAGTCAAAAGCTCCTGCAGCAGAAACCTATCTGTTAGTGCTATAGCCACATTTAAGGAAGAGATTCCACCAATACTTAACTCGATAGCATGCATGGGCGCGGGAAGGGGGGTGCTGAGGGCGCTGCAGCACCCCCTAGCGGCAGGCAGGGGGTGCGGAGCTCCCCTGTCTGAATTATTATTTGACGGTTATTGCTGCTCCCGCTGTGCATAATCTGTGTAATATGTAGCCAATAAATTCCACATTGTTGGTAAAATAATATTTTGGCCTGCCCCGAATGTTGTTTCTGTAATTCTACCTGAATAATATAATACATTAACCGTGCTTTACGTGAACCTCATCAAGACACTAGAGAGGACGGCAGGACTGTAACCAATCAGAGAGTTGCATGGAAATAAAAGTGTGCTTGTGTCATTCAAGCTCGGCTCTGTGTGTGTGTGTGTATACTAAATGAGATACTGTCTACCGCTGTTCATTGTTCAAGATTGAAATGTAAATGTGCAAGCCGTTTTTCTGCCCCTCTATTCAAATGTAGCCTTTCATACGTGATGGTTTCTTCATTCTCGAACTGTTGTGGAGCAGAACTATACAGTTGCAGGATTAGTCTCAAGTACCTCAATATAATTATAGTATGTCTGCATTTTATGTGCTCATTTCATCATTCATTCATGTATTTTATATTCTACTAAAACTGAATCAAACCATAAACAAGGTGGCCTGTTGGGATTACTATATATAATATATATTATTTTATCCCACTTTATGCTTTGCTCTTGCTGCTTGTTTTACACTGATCTTATTTCTTACTGATGTAAAGCACTTAGTTTGAACTGCAATCCCCTGTATGAAAGGTACGATACAAATAAAGTTATTATTATTCAGATGGATGTTTCTGCCCCTCTGTTCATTCTCCCATTATCCTCCTCAATCTGCCTAGAAGTATTTTAATGTTGTAGCTGTTACTATAACCAATACTAATGCTAGGGCTGCAACTGACACTGTATACAGGCACATTGTTATTGTTTCTTATCGCTGTGTGATTACAATAATAAACACAAATAGCAGGATAGGCAATGCAAAACTTTATTTCGTACCTTCACATAACACACCATTAGAATGAGCTTTTATCAACGCCTACATGATGATAACCTGTCAACATGACATTAATACAGAGCGGGCAGAACCCAAATCTAGCTCCAGTGCCGCACGAAACATGTTTTCGCTGGACGAGAGTGAAAATGGAACGCACACACTATTTGTTTATATCACGGTCTGTTCTTCTTCTCTGTCTTCCGGTTGTTGCCTCTTTTGAATGACGAATACACACTACCGCCGCCTGCTGGTAAGGAGAGTTATTGCCACTCACGCACTGAAGTCTTTGCGGTGTGTTCCCGTGCGACACATGGCCAAGACGCAGGAGAACACAGCGACGCAACAGCCGACGTCGGCGAGTCCTCTGGTGACTGCTTGGTGTGTCAGGGCCTTTAGACCCAATTCCAACTAAGCTGTTGAACGAAGTTTTTCCATTAATTAGCACTTCTTTATGAAATATTATGAATATGTCTTTATTATCAGGCTATGTTCCACAATCATTCAAAGTAGCAGTGATAAAACCGCTTCTTAAAAAGCACAACCTCGATCCAGAGGTTTTAGCCAACTATAGACCTATTTCTAATCTTCCGTTCCTCTCAAAAATTATTGAGAAAGCGGTCGTAAAACAGCTGTGTGATTACTTAAAAAACAATGATTTATTTGAAGCTTTTCAGTCTGGCTTTAGAACACATCATAGCACAGAGACAGCTCTGGTTAAAGTCACAAATGACATTCTAATAGCCTCTGACAAGGGACTTGTCTCTATTCTTGTTTTGCTCGATCTCAGTGCTGCATTTGATACTATCGACCATGATATCTTATTGCAAAGACTAGAGCACTTAGTTGGCATACAGGGAACTGCTTTAGACTGGTTTAGGTCCTATCTATCTGAACGCTCTCAGTTTGTACGTGTTAACGATGAATCTTCCACGCAAACCAAAGTTAGCCATGGAGTGCCACAGGGCTCAGTGCTCGGACCTATTTTGTTCACATTATATGCTTCCGTTAGGCAATATTATAAGGAATCATTCTGTAAACTGTTATGCGGATGATACTCAACTATATTTATCAATCAAGCCTGATGAAATTAATCATCTAAATAAAATTCAAGACTGCCTCAAGGACTTAAAAACGTGGATGACCTTAAACTTTTCGATGTTAAACACGACCAAAACTGAAGTTATTGTACTTGGCCCAAAGAATCTACGAAACAAATTATCTAAAGATATACTAACTATGGATGGCATTAATTTGGCCTCCAGTGAGACTGTAAGGAATCTTGGTGTTATATGTGATCAGGATTTATCCTTTAACGCCCACATAAAATCAATTTCAAGGACCGCCTACTCCCATCTACGTAACATTGAACAAATAATAGATTTCCTGTATTCTGGTGCATTTTAACAGGTGGTTTGATACTTGTATGTGGCTATACTAGCATGAGGGAAATGATGGGTACATTTTGTAATTTCATCCAGTAGTAAAGAAAGGAAACATATTTGATTATTAATTCAGAGCCGTCTTTGAATTAATAAAAAGCAGTTTAAATGCCCATTTTTTGTACATTTATATAAAACAATACATATTTGTGAGTGCATTGAGAGACATTGGTGTGGAGTCATTTATATATAAATCGCAAAATACATTTGTGAATCCTTCTGTGAGCATTTATTAATATTGAGACTGATCTGACTCCATACAGATGTTAAGTTCACCTGGGAATGGTATCATTGACTTAAATGTTGCTCTTCTGTCTATATTGGTCACATGATGCCCCTTGACTGAAATGCTTCCTGTTCAATATCCCCGCTGATTTCCTTAACATTCTGGGATGAGAGTCCACATCACCATTTACTCTAAACTGTCATTTCCCTTTCATCACTCACCTCAGCAACGGACCTCTCTCCACTGTCCCTGTGTTCTGCCTCTGACTCACTCTCAAGCGCCTAGATGTCAAGAGAGGTGGTGAAGGGATCATTATTGATTGAGCAGTATACTCTTTCACATTGAATCATAACAAGTCATACTGAATGTAAATACAACTGACTCTAAAGTAAGTCCCAGTCTGTGACATTAGGCGCTTTCACACTGCGGTACTTTTCCCACAAAGGTTCATGTGAACTCTTTAGTTCGCATGAACTAAGTACAGATCGCGTTCACACTGTAAAAAGTCCCTGGGGGTGGATTAGGCAAATGAAGCCGCTGACGTCACTTGTTCTTCTTCTGCTTTGGGTTTACTGGCAGGCCGCAAACCACTTCACGGCGTATACTGCCACCCGGAGTCCCCGGAGTTAGGGACTGGCTTCAGTAGAAGCTGCTGGGACTCCCAGCAGCTTCTACTGAAGCCTTCCGAGTAAATCGCCAGAACGCCGACACCTCCACCGCTCCCGTGTTTTATTTTGTGTTGCCATAAGTTAGTCTCTCTGCGTTTCTACGCTGGGCTAATGCTAATAATGCTAATGCGAGGATAATAAAATGGCAGCTTCACAAAACTTTTTGGGAGTTTTGCGGGGCGTGGTTTGCAATCCTTCCAGCCAATCAGAAATATAGCTCTTTTCTCACAAAAGAGCCACTCGAAAGTCCCTGCTCTCTAGCAGTGACTTTCGAGCGGCTCCAGGGTAAAAAGGTTCACATGAACTAATTTTAGTACCGGCTCTTTTTGGTGTGAACGCGATAAAAGAGTTCACATGAACCTTTGTGGGAAAAGTACCAGTGTGAAAGCGCCTATTGGACATTTTGAAGACTCAAAGTCCCAAGCAGTAGGTAGAATATTAGCTAGTGTGCATAATATTTTCATTGACATATGACCACTGTAGCTATGTACAAATGACAATAAAAGCCTTGAATCTGAACAGCTCAGATACTCCACACACTCAAATTGAGCAAAGCATAGCCCATGACAAACAGAACAGATTTCCACTTGTTGCAGTTCATAATGTTGTAATAACAGGAAAAAGGCAGTGTCCATTCTTTGTCAAACATTTATTTGAAAATTCTTCAAATACAAATTCATGTCAATGTAGTGAACAGTTGAGATGAATAGCCTTGTAGAACAAGACGGAGGACAGGAGAGTCCGAGTTTCACTCCATGCCCCTGCAGAGCCCAGTAGAACTGTTCCACCCGGCTTTTCATGCGTCTGCACGTCCTCCAGATCCAGATCCTTCAGTCACACCTGTCGGAGCGAAACAGTTAGTGACCTGTGTTTGGCTGCCAAACATTCTCAACAGGAGCTGAACAGTCCGAGTGTCTCAGTGCGCTGCGAGTAAACTTCATTTTGCATCAGTTGAACCAAAAAACTGAATCATCATAGACCATCTCGGACCAAAGCTCTTCCAAGTCCCATTAGATCCATTATGCCAGAGTCATATTTACTGCACTGGCCCATTTATGATGAGGCAGTGCAGTCCTAGATTCAACCATTTTTTAATAAAGCCCAGCATTATTACACTCACCCTCATTAGAACTCCAGCCTTGGAGTCAGCATCCAGGTTTGTGTGGTTGCAGATGTGGCGTAGTAAACTCCACGCTGGGACTCGTTGTAGATCTAAAGAACAAAGAGCACATGTTGCAGTCAGCTCTCCCTCCATCACAGTAACCAATGGCTGCCACACATTCTCAACAGGAGCTGAACAGTCCGAGTGTCTCAGTGCGCTGCGAGTAAACTTCATTTTGCATCAGTTGAACCAAAAAACTGAATCATCATAGACCATCTCGGACCAAAGCTCTTCCAAGTCCCATTAGATCCATCAAGCCAAGGTCATACAATTCTAAGATCACATGGTCCATTTATGATGAGCCACTGCAGTCCCAGATGTAACCCTTTCTAATAAAGCCCAGCAACAATACTGCATTATTACACTCACCCTCAGTAGAGCTCCAGCCTTGGAGTCAGCATCCAGGTTTGTGGTTGAGATGCGGATATGTCCCAGCAACTCCTTCCATCAGTGTGTGGACGAGCTGCAAGGCAACGGGACATCAGTACCAGCACATGGCAAAACAACGAGACGTTTAGAGAACACACCTGATGATGTTAAGCCCATCTACTGCAATCACACCTCAAACGGGTCAGTAGAGGAATTTCACCAGTTACGACTTTTTTAAGGCCCTACGAAATGCGTTCACTAAACAGAAGCACTCATTATCTCAACATATAAAAACAATTATACCGCTAAAAGTTATATAAATATTTGTAATTTGGCTGAGGCAAACCTCAGGTTTCCAGTGAATGCCTGCCACTGTTTAAGTTGCACTGAAATGATGCAACACAAATTACAGCCTGAGGCTTCTTAAGTGTGACAGCACTTCAAAAAAGGCAGCATTCATAAGCAACTGCCTTTAATAATCAAACACATGTCTTACGCTTCAGATTTATCTTCATGGTCATTTGGAATAACTCAGTGGTTGTGTAGATAAGGGAAACTAAACAACAACCATGCTTTAAAAAAAAGAGTAACAAGTCTACATGATAAGCAGTAGGTGGGCTCAACATACTGGTGTGGTTATGTGGTCAGTGCACTGTGAAGACATCTTCATCTTTTGTCAGAGACTCTAGTCTATGAAATCATCATCCCACATAGCAGAAGATTAAAGGAAACATGATTTAATAGCACACTTACCTAAGAGAGAGTCTCCAACATCTTGAGAAACCTGGTGATGAGATCAGAGAAAAGTATTACAACATGTTCTAATGTTTGCACTTTGTTTACAGTTCATATTGGGCATACTCAGAGCACTGTGAAGATATCTTCATGATTTATCAGAGACTCTAGTCTAGTTGATCATCATTGCAGCCTTTTGGTTCTCATTGCACACCATTGCACTGCATCCCCCAACCCAACACTCACCATGTGCTCATGGCTGCAGACAGCATGGGGGGTCAAATGATCTTTCAGAGCATCCATCTTCAGGCAGTGTGATCCTGAAACAGCAGGGAGGGTTATTTCAATCAAATTGTTTCTCAGATTCCTATCAAAGGCATGCAGTTTATAAAGTTACACATTTATAAAGATACATCAAGATGTTGGCAGCAGTAGTAAACACAGATGTGCATGCATCTGAGGTTTTAAATAGAGTTTAATGAAGCAAAGGGGACGTAAACATTTAAAATACACTTTTAATAGTATTTTCAGTCATTTAAACATTAAGGACATTGTAATTATATCATTTATTTAAATCCCTATGGTCAAATTAACACTCACTTTGTTCAACCATCTTTTAACTTGGTTCTCCTGGAGTTCCTTGGGCACTTGGTGTTCTGCGTAGTGAACTCCACGCTGGGACTCGTAGATCTAAAGAACAAAGAGCACATGTTGCAGTCAGCTCTCCCTCCATCACAGTAACCAATGGCTGCCACACATTCTCAACAGGAGCTGAACAGTCCGAGTGTCTCAGTGCGCTGCGAGTAAACTTCAGTTTGCATCAGTTGAACCAAAAAACTGAATCATCATAGACCATCTCGGACCAAAGCTCTTCCAAGTCCCATTAGATCCATCAAGCCAAGGTCATACAATTCTAAGATCACATGGTCCATTTATGATGAGCCAGTGCAGTCCCAGATGTAACCCTTTCTAATAAAGCCCAGCAACAATACTGCATTATTACACTCACCCTCAGTAGAGCTCCAGCCTTGGAGTCAGCATCCAGGTTTGTGGTTGAGATGCGGATATGTCCCAGCAACTCCTTCCATCAGTGTGTGGACGAGCTGCAAGGCAACGGGACATCAGTACCAGCACATGGCAAAACAACGAGACGTTTAGAGAACACACCTGATGATGTTAAGCCCATCTACTGCAATCACACCTCAAACGGGTCAGTAGAGGAATTTCACCAGCTGTTATGATTCTTTGAAGTCTACATGATAAGCAGTAGGTGGGCTCAACATACTGGTGTGGTTATGTGGTCAGTGCACTGTGAAGACATCTTCATCTTTTGTCAGAGACTCTAGTCTATGAAATCATCATCCCACATAGCAGAAGCTTAAAGGAAACATGATTTAATAGCACACTTACCTAAGAGAGAGTCTCCAACATCTTGAGAAACCTGGTGATGAGATCAGAGAAAAGTATTACAACATGTTCTAATGTTTGCACTTTGTTTACAGTTCATATTGGGCATACTCAGAGCACTGTGAAGATATCTTCATGATTTATCAGAGACTCTAGTCTAGTTGATCATCATTGCAGCCTTTTGGTTCTCATTGCACACCATTGCACTGCATCCCCCAACCCAACACTCACCATGTGCTCATGGCTGCAGGAGGTACCAGGAGGGGGTCAAATGATGTTTCAGAGCATCCATCTTCAGGCAGTGTGATCCTGAAACAGCAGGGAGGGTTATTTCAATCAAATTGTAAGTTCTCAGACTCCCATCAAAAAGGCATGCACACTTTATAAAGTTACAAAAGTATACAGATACCCAGACGTTTGCACAACACACATTTGCCCATCTTTGTTTAAAAAATAAAGAAGAGTTGAATAGAATTAATTAGATTTAAAAATAAAATAAAATCTAAAGTCCCTTTTACATTCATTTGAACATTACTTAGGCTATCAATTGAGATCATTTCAAAATAGCCAAATAGCCAAACAGTTTGAAGTCACATTGAAATGTGTTGGCGGGCTTGCACCGAGGCCTAACGCCCTGCAGAGGGAGTTAGTGCAGTAAACCTACTAGAAGTTACTAGCAATTACACAGTTTAACCTTATTTATAATAAATGTATATTAAATGCTATTCATGTAAACAAAACACGCTTCTATAAAATAGGGATTACGGAACATTATATAATGTTTTCAAATTCCTATGGTCAAATTAACACTCACTTTGTTCAACCATCTTTTAACTTGCTTCTCCTCGTGGTCCTTGGGCGTAGTGAAGTGAACTCCACGCTGGGACTCATTGTAGATCTAAAGAACAAAGAGCACATGTTGCAGTCAGCTCTCCCTCCATCACAGTAACCTTTCTTTTTCTATACATAGTGATGACATAATTAACTACTGCCATGTACAGACGTTTACAGTCAAAATGAAGTGCACAACACAATGAATCTGAACATTGAACGAAAGGGGAGGGAGTGTATTCCGCCAATTAGTTGTGAGTCAAGGAATTGAGCCAAGCTACAGTGGAGGGCCGAAAGCTTCTCTACCAAGGAACATTCAGTCCCGCTCCATCACTGCAGATGGGAGGAGAGGGAACCCTGGAAATTAGTGACCATGTGCTCGGCATGGAAACACTTCTGAACACGCTGCTGGTCGCATCTCCCACAACTGACTACTTCACTTATATATTGATGTCATAAGCCTTAAACACAGACGCATAACCAGGTGGAATCACATTTACCTACCCTTGTTTCCTAGGAGTTACAGTTCTGAGCAAAAATCCGGTTAGCTGCACGTCCACATCCAACAGAGAGCAGCCAGAGAGACTGAAAAATGTCCGGCCGTGGTTTATATAGGTGGGTCCTGGTCTTCCACAGCACCCTCGTGCCTTTGGTGTCCTGAGTATGCCTGTTAATAAATACCCTGAATTAAATGTACATTCCGAAAAAGAGAGAAAGTAAAATAACAACTTTTAGCACAGTCAGTACTATTCAATTATTCAAATAATTACTATGGACATAAATGTTTTCCTTTTTTGGGTTACTGAGATTATCTTGAAGACATCTTAAGTACACGTTGTGTGTCATTTCAAAGTGTGGGTGCATCTAACGTTAAATGGAGCCAATTGCAAAAACGTAAACTCATACATAGATGTACATGTAAATATCATATCCGATAGAGTAACGTTACTAAGAAGCAAGACATGTGTAAGTAGGACATTTAAATACAGGTTTGTGTGTACATATGATACATATTACTTTACTTAAACTCTAGATCAGGATCCATCTATTTAATCCGTTTTTAAGCGTCATTTATATTTTTACATGAGATTCAAAAAGGGCTATTTTTGTTCAATGACATAAAAACTACAAGTCCCACCACCCATCGTCTCGTATCAAGGGGATGCCAGGTTCTCTCGGACTGCAAAGGAAAAGGGCGTTTAAAGCATGCGCCCTCTATGGGTTCTACAAATTCTATCTGGCAACACGGTATCCACTCTCACTGTTGTCGTCACTGAGGTCAGGTAGACGGAGCGAAGATGGCGACCGCCTACGAGAGATACAATTTGTAAGTACATGTAATATAGTTTTTCAAACGTCTATTCTTATTTCTGCGTCTGATAAAAGACAAGCAAGCGGCTCAGCTTATGGCTGGTGTAAAGCCGAAGCTGGGGTTCAGAGGCAGCCATAGCGCTAGGTCAGATGACACAGCGGCTGAAGTTCGCTGACAGGCTCGGATCGTAACGTTAGAACCCGGGGTTAGGTTCGAAGAGGAACCGGTGAGGCTTCATTCAACACTCATTCATTATGAAGGACATAGTCCCCCCTCGTTAATTTTCTTAAAATAGTGGAGAGGGTTGTTCAGTGCAAACTAACAGGGCGGCAGAAAGTTAGTTAACCTAGCTAGCAGCAGAAGGCGTTTCGGCTGCTCGTTCATTTTTAATCTGAATGTATTGTCTGTTGCATTCTGAGGTGGCTGTGTGATGGCTGTGTGATGTTTATGACCCACATTTCTTTGCAACGTAAGGTTCTTTTCTCTCTCTAATGACATCATTCAACTGTCTGTGAACCAAACACTGAAACATGTTTTATTAAACGTTAGCTATTTCCTATATACAGAGGTGGAAGAAGTACTCAAATGTTGCACTTGCGTTTGAGCAGAACTATCAGGGTGTACGAGTCCGAGTCATGCATCAAGATGTTACTCAAGTAAAAGTATTAGAATCAAAATATACTGTAATTTCCAAAAGTAGTCATTGTGCAGATTGGTCAATTTCAGAATAATATATATGATATGTTTTATAATGATAGATCATGAAAGTGTTCTCAAAGCTGGTAAAGGTGCAGCTAGTTTGAATGACTTTGTATACTGCAGGGTAGCTGGTGAATGTATCTGCAAAGTAACTAAAGGTATTCAATAAATGTAGTGGAGTAAAACTACACAATTTACCTATCAATTGTAGAAGTACAAAGTAGCAAAAAAACTCCTCAAAATTGTACTTAGGAACAGTACTTGAGTAAATCTCTGTCGTTACTTTACACCGCTAAAGTTGACATAACTGGTTGTACTTTTCCAGACACACCCTTGTTCAAACATGCCACCTTATTGTTCAGTGTCCTGCCTGGTCCAACCTGTCTGTCTCTACCCAGTGTTCCCTACATAGGTTAACTGCTTACGATCATTCCTCCTTCCACAATGAACACTTGAATAATAATAACAATTTGACATGATTCAAAGGTTGTCTTTGTCACAGCAGCTACAGTGTCGTTTTGGAAAGGACAATGTAAAATGTCAGGCTGTTTCTAACAATTCAACCTACAGTATACTTAACTAATGCAATAGAATATTTCAAGATGGTTCAAGTAAGGTGCAGCAATACAAATATATATATATATATACATAAACAAGATAAAACAGAATTTAAAAGGAATAGAAATACTGTACAGTACAATAAAAACGGTATACTGCAATATCATGTGGATATGAGGAATATCAACAGTGAACAATGGACATGGTATAAGTGACTCTTGACAGCGCTCGGGTGTTCAGCACTCTCACAGCCCGTGGGATCAAAGGGTCTGGTGGTGTTGCTCTGGAAGCTGCAGAAAGACCCGTTTATTGCTGGGGTGCACTCTCAAAGTGCCATGAAATACCCATGATGACTTTATACGTTTCTTAAGTCCAAATGTAGGCTTAAAATAAAGCAATGTTATGTCCAATCTATTCCTCCTAATCGTTTCTATGGCTCTAAATGAGACCATTTTCAAAGTAAGGTAAGAAACAGGGAAATAACTATCTTTTATTATTATATGATGATGCAATGCAGTGTTTGCAAATCAATACACACTACTTCCACATCTGTGATGTCGTTCTTGGAGCAAAGAACCAGAGCAGGATACAATGCAGAGCTCTGACGTCAGACTGAAGATCTATTGGAAGTTACGGCTGGAGACTTGGCTGAGACAAAGCGTCTCAGTCTGTCCCCGCAGCAGCTCCTTTACCCACTGACAGCCCATAATCCAACGCTCCAATCAGAAATACCTGTCCACTCACGCATGCAGAGAAGCATGCTCCAGAAGGTGTTGGATCACATTAAGTTTACTCTCTGACACATAGCATGTTAAGTCCTATCACTATCTGAAGAAGAGAATGCTAACAACCGTGCTGTAGAAGGAGGTCATGGAGGTCATCGCTCAGTTCATTGTTCTACAGTACGCTGCCCAAGCTCCAGTTCCAATGCCTGCTGCCTGTACAGAGAAACACCACCTAAGGCCAGGACAGAAGTGGACAATGATTAGAAGGAGACTAGTTCAATCATTCTCTATCAACAACATCCAGGATGTTGACATGATGTAATACCTCACTCGAGAAAAGTTTGAAACATTTTGATGTCGTACTGAAATGAATGGAAACCAGTACTTTCTTGGAAATGAAGAAGAACCCATCCTAAAGACTAGAAGATTTCCACTTCATTTGGAAGTCATTTAAAGTCCACATGATCTGTAGTAAATGTCCTAAACCATGCAAGGCATGTCCAGTGTTTCAGTAACACTACTGAGTGTTAGTGTAAAGCAGCCATGTTTTCTGTGGTCTATGAGGGAGGCCAACAATGGGCTGTTTGTGTGTTTGCGTCAGCAGCACCACAGCTCACATTCTCTTGCTGCAGGGATTTAAAGCTGTGTGTTACTCAAGCAGTCACTGTGACCTCTGGTCCCTTAACACAATAGAGGTTTCTCAATTCTTAAATGTCCCCTCCTCGACTCCCCTCCTCAACTCCCCTCCTCGAGACTTAGTCCCACCCACAGGAGATGTGAGCGGAGGACCGAGGAGAGAGGAGGGGAAGCAGCAGACGTTTAAAGAAATGAGAACTCCTCTCCTCTGAGCGGTCATTTTAAAGAGACGTCCGTTCATTATTACGTGGCAACAGCTGCATCAGCTGTCGAGTGTTTTGTCATAGCGCTGTATCTCTGTTAGATCAGCTGAACATTGTTCCCCCACATATTTACTTTGAATTCATTGAGAGTGTGGTATAATGAGACAATAACAGGCTACAGATGCAGACACACACACACACATATATATTTATATAAATATATACAATTTAAAGTATGAGAGCTCAGCACTCTCATAATAACGTAACACAATCAGAGACTGGATATATCCCTCCCTCTCTCTGGTCGCTGAAATGGGGAATTGAAATTACGGGCCAAAAGTTGTATTTACAAGTAGCCTATTAAAAGTAAGCAGAGGACACCAAACCAACTGAGACCCGTCTGTCCGCCGCATTTACGCACAGTACAACACACACACCTACACACTGTACCACACACACCTACACACTGTACAACACACACCTACACACTGTACCACACACCTACACACTGTACCACACACACCTACACACTGTACCACACACATACACACTGTACCACACACACCTACACACTGTACAACACACCTACACACTGTACCACACACACCTACACACTGTACCACACACATACACACTGTACCACACACATACACACTGTACAACACACACATACACACTGTACCACACACCTACACACTGTACCACACACACCTACACACTGTACAACACACCTACACACTGTACCACACACACCTACACACTGTACCACACACATACACACTGTACCACACACATACACACTGTACCACACACCTACACACTGTACCACACACACCTACACACTGTACCACACACATACACACTGTACCACACACCTACACACTGTACAACACACCTACACACTGTACCACACACCTACACACTGTACAACACACACATACACACTGTACCACACACCTACACACTGTACAACACACACATACACACTGTACCACACACCTACACACTGTACAACACACCTACACACTGTACCACACACACCTACACACTGTACCACACACATACACACTGTACCACACACCTACACACTGTCCACACACACACACTGTACAACACACCCACACTGTACCACACACACCTACACACTGTACCACACACACCTACACACTGTACCACACACACCTACACACTGTACAACACACACCTATACACTGTACCACACACACCTACACACTGTACAACACACCCTACACACTGTACCACACACACCTACACACTGTACCACACACACCTACACACTGTACCACACACACCTACACATTGTACCACACACACCTACACACTGTACAACACACACCTATACACTGTACCACACACACCTACACACTGTACAACACACACCTACACACTGTACCACACACACCTACACACTGTACCACACACACACCTACACATTGTACCACACACACCTACACACTGTACAACACACACCTATACACTGTACAACACACACCTACACACTGTACAACACACACCTACACACTGTACCACACACCTACACACTGTACAACACACTGTACCACACACACACCTACCACACACACACACCTACACACTGTACCACACACACACCTACACACTGTACCACACACACACACACCTACACACTGTACCACACACACACCTACGCACTGTACAACACACACCTACACACTGTACAACACACACCTATACACTGTACCACACACACCCACACTGTACCACACACACCTACACACTGTACCACACGCACCTACACACTGTACCACACACACCTACACACTGTACCACACACACCTACACACTGTACCACACACACCTACACACTGTACAACACACACCTACACACTGTACCACACACACCTACACACTGTACAACACACACCTATACACTGTACACCACACACCTACACACTGTACCACACACACCTACACACTGTACCACACGCACCTACACACTGTACCACACACACCTACACACTGTACCACACACACACCTACACACTGTACCACACACACCTACACACTGTACACCACACACCTACACACTGTACCACACACACCTACACACTGTACAACACACACCCTACACACTGTACAACACACACCTACACACTGTACAACACACACCTACACACTGTACCACACACACCTCCACACTGTACCACACACACACCTACACACTGTACAACACACACCTATACACTGTACAACACACACCTACACACTGTACAACACACACCTACACACTGTACCACACACACCTACACACTGTACAACACACTGTACCACACACACACCTACACACTGTACCACACGCACACCTACACACTGTACCACACGCACACCTACACACTGTACCACACGCACACCTACACACTGTACCACACGCACACCTACACACTGTACCACACACACCTACACACTGTACCACACACACACCTACACACTGTACCACACACACCTACACACTGTACCACACACACCTACACACTGTACCACACACACCAACACACTGTACAACACACACACCTACACACTGTACCACACACACCTACACACTGTACCACACACACACCTACACACTGTACCCACACACACCTACACACTGTACCACACACATACCTACACACTGTACCACACACACCTACAGCTCCTAAAGCATATCAGGCTACAGCCGTTGTGTATTTTATTATGTGAAGCACTAAATGGTCTTAGAAAAATATCGACTCTTTGTTTGTAGTTATCTACTAAACTAAAGCAAATAAAGAGAGTAGGCCTGTTATACTGAGAGATATATATTATACACACTGCTCTGCTTTCTGCACGGACCTCACAGCTGTTCTCTCTGGAAAGCAGTTACTAAAATAATATCCAGGGGATGCATGCAGAGCTGTCATTGGCTGAGATAAGTCCGGCCGTGCGTCACGCCTACACCGTTCCCGGAAATGCATCCACGAAGGAGCCGTGGAGGACCCATCAGTGTATCCTCGGTTAGAGCTCCTCCAGAGAGCCTCCTCGACGCTCGATCCTCGGTGTGCATTTAGAGAAATTAGATGTCCTTCAAAATGGCGTGCTGAAATTCATTTCCGGGTCACTACCGGAGGACCGAGGAGTCGAGGAGGGGAAATTTGAGTATTGAGAAGCCTCTAATGAGTACTTTAGAGGGAAGCAGTTTTTTTTGGGTCATTCAGGCGTTCTGTTTTTGTTTTGACAGTAGAAACAGACAGGAACTTAGGGAATGAGGAAGAGGCAGGATACCATCGCAAAAGGTGCCTTCCTTGAATGATACTGGGACTGTAGATGGTAGGCATCTCAGACCACTTTGCAAAGAGATCATTGCTGGACTTTTCATAGGCTCGTGTGAGTTTAATATGTAATGTTTCCCCTCTAGGAAAACCATATAGTTCAATGAAATACTTCCCGAATCAAGGCTGCGTCCAATTTTCAAAAAACAGTATAACATTTTGATTTCATTCTGCTCGACATTTTATAGAAACACCTTGCTTCCAATGAACCTTCCTCTGTTAGGATCCTTCCTTTGTAAACTGCTCTCAGTTCCCTGCTCCACACCATCTCAGCTGGATGGATGTGATGTTGGAGGGCTGGAGGTTAATCCTGGTTTTAACAGCCGTCTCTAGGTCCTTAACATTCCATCTATAGGTTGGTTTCTTTCTATTTCACAGCTCCCATGGCTTTGAGACTCCAGTTGTGCCCTGGTCACAGAGAGGAAGCATGTGGAGGGTCATTGCATTGCACTTCAGGAATAGTTTGGGAGTCATTTGTTGGCTATACAGTTTATTCACAAATGAATTCAACTCCACTTTGCAGTTCTTTTAGCACTGCAAAATAAACACCACCGTCCTGATGTTTTACTTTGTGTTGAGTGTCATTGGCAGTAGCTTGAAAGCAATTAAAAAGGCAGTGAAGCAACATGGAATAATACATGCAAACACTATTTTTATTAAAAGAGAAACTTGTTTTTAGCATAACCTGCGTCTGATGTACTGATGGAATTACTGCTGTGGAAATGACCATTATAGCATACAAATGTATCATGAAAAGGAAGGAAATAGGAAAACTAGGACCGAGTGTATTTGTAGAATGTTGGAAATAGGTAAAGACTACCAGGTTCCTTCGGTACTTGAGTTGAAAACATCTAAACGTTAGAATTGACAATGCTATCCTCTTCTGTTAGACATTTCCTAGGACTTATTAATTGGTCTTTCATTTGATATTTTGCGACGCAGAAGAGTCATGCGTCTTTCATCGTTGGTCACATTAGCAGGTGGCATTTGTTTTGAAGCAGGAGAACTTTATCATCCTAAAGCTTTCTCTTTAGCACGTTGTGATGCTATTGAACCTGACTAACCCTCTGACAGCTGTACTATCAACCATTGGGTCAAACCTGAACTGTATGCCCTTCTCTCCCAGGCACACGACCCCAGAGAAGTTCTACATCGAGGCCTGTGATGAGGGGGCTGATGCTGTGCTGGCCATCGACAGGGTCTCCAATGAGATGACCCTCACAGGTAAGAAGTTTAATGATCGTGCTTCACTGTCACGACAAACACAGAACGCTTTCAGCTGTGGTTGAAACACAAGCAGAGAGATTTAGAGCTCTCACCACCTTTTCAATTTGAGGCTGTTGAGCGTTGTTGTCTCTCTCTCCACATGTGTTTGCTAGACATGCCATCGTTTCTTTTCTCACAATACATCAGAACTGAAGTTACCTACTTACCCAGCTTGGTTGTGAGGGAAACTTTATTTTCCTCACAACCCCCAAAACGTCAAACGGCTCTGCTTCCTCGGAGGCTCTCGCGGAGCTGACCAGGAGCGGGGGTGCCTCTCTCCCCTTCGACCTGCAGCTGCTGAAGGGCGAGCCTGATGCCGCGGTTGCTGTGGGCGTCTCTCCGCTTGCGACCTGCTGTGGCCGGTGTGGACGCCGCGGCTGCTGCGGGCGTTGGTGCCGCTGTGGCAGCTCAGCAGGCTGGAGCCAGCTGACGTGCTGGCGAATGTCGTCCGCCTGTTCCGCGGCCGTCTTCATGGACTCCACCATGGCGTGCAACTGGGGTCCGAACAGCCCGTCCGGGCTGATTGGAGCGTCCAGTAGCACTTTTCTGGCCGTCTCCGTAACAGACGCCTGCTGCAGCCAGAGGTGGCGCTGGATCGGTGGCGCTGGATCTGTGTCACCCACGAAGTCAGGTGATCAGGTGAAGTCAGGGATCCTCGCCTGGGAGACAGCGACGGACGCGCACAGAGTGAGCGCCGTGCTGGCCGCCTTGTCAGCGGCCAAGTTGGTGGACCGCTCTACCAGCGTCACCACCGAGTTGGAGAGCAGCGCGATGTTATTCGCCGCCGCCGACGCCTGAAAGGCACACTGGTGCACCCGGTCGGCCTGGCGGGTGACATACTGGTTTCTGGGGGAGCTCAACGTAGGGCGCCGTCCGGCTATCATGTTGCCCTGTCTTACCCCAAAAAATGCCGTCAGGCTCGGCTCCAGAGAAGGGGCGGCTGGGAAACCAGCATCTGTGAACCCCTCCACCTTGGTGAGGGGAACAAATGTGGCCACCGGGAGCCTTCAGGGTCCTCGGGTTCGCCGCCGCCCCCTCCTGGTACCTCCTGATGGCCGGGAAGCGTGGCTAGATCGGGTCACTCCTGACCGTCTGCACCCGCGAAAAAACTCCGGTTATGTCGTACGGAGCACACCTCTCCTGAGCTAGGGGAACGGGGAGATCTCTGCAGGCGGCCGCCTTGCGTATGATCTGCCACCTATCGCCGGTAGCGCTGTGGTGACGGAGAAGGGGACCGCGTGTTCGGCCGCCAAGCTGGCACCCTGCTCCGACTCTGTCTCCCCCGTCCGGGGGAGAAGAGGGAGGGGAGAACCAAACGGTGAACCATGGAGGGAGGCGGGGCAGGAGTTGTCGGACTTCTGCCCGGCACTCGGCCCCCGTCCGCGGGCTCGTAAGCCTGGACGGGCCAATCGTCCTCCTCGGCCGCAGCAGCAAGAGCGTCCGCTCTCCGCTTCCTGTCGCCCGAGGGGAGACGGGCGACATTGGGTGCATGCTACCTGCTGCTTTAGAGCTGCGTACGCGTGCTCTGACCCCAGGCAGGATTCGCATACTGTGTGCTGGTCATAACTCATTATGAACTCAGAGCCACATGAGGGACAATCTCTCACACAATTGTTACTCATGTTTACTCTGCAATTGAGGTGTCTCTTGTGCTTCAGTAACGGGGTGCTGAAGAAAAGAGGGAGCAGATTGTCGGGCCTCCTTCCTATTTATTTATACCGGAAGGGAGCCCGAGGGTGGGGCCCACCTTGTGGGCGGGCGTGGACTACAAGTGTTTCAGTGCTGTGTGGGTGCGCCGGGGGATTACCCAATAGCGATAGCCTTAGAGGGCGAAGCCATATACGAAATGGAACAATTGACCTTACAGCTAGCCATCATTTGGGACAGCTTTAAGAACAAAGAAGGTAACAATGAAGCGGAATGATCCTCAACAGAATTCTCCTCAATAGAGATTCATTGATTCTTTGTTTACTCTTCAAAGAATCTCAAAGAACTGTTTGGATAATCAATAAATCGCTTTGAGTAATTCTTTAAGAAAAAGCAATTGAAAACATCTCTATTTACAGGTTCTTAAACTTGAGTCTTTTCTGGTTTATTTACTCCTCTATGGCTGTCAAATTCATATCTTCGAGTTGTGGACAAAACATAACATTTGAGGAGAGATATCCTATACTGTAACACACTACAGGAGAGGGGAAACTCCAAACAGTTCCCCTTCTGAGAATATAAATGTAATGCGAAGTGTCTATATCTAGCGTTCTCCCCATTGTGCTGCTTTTCACAGGCAAGAAAGATGTCCCCCCCTCTGCGGTCACCAGGCCTATATGCGGCATCATGGGAACCATCCGTCTGGTAGCAGGTAGGTACCACAGTGATGCAGCGTTTGTGTTTCTTCTCAAGCCTGAACAGCTAACCAGTGACCCCCCCCCCCCCCCAGGGATGTACCTGATCGTCATCACCAGGAAGAGGAATGTGGGCAGCCTGCTGGGCCACTCTGTGTGGAAGGCTGTGGACTTTGACGTGATCTCCTACAAGAAGACAGTGCTGCATCTCTCAGAGATCCAGGTCAGCAGGACTCACTCAACGTCTGACAACCACTCCTTAGAAAAGACACCTGTGATACATTAGACACAGATTCACTTCAAACTAATGTTGGTTGTGGTGTTGGGAAAGGTTTTCTATATATGCATATGATCACATTTGACTAAAATAGTTCCTTTTAGTTCAAACTGAGCCCTCAATACAGAGGACATTATTTTCAGTTATTTAATGAGCATTGCTAATACATGTTCTACACATTAAAATCCCAATGGAGCTTTCTCTGAATTGAAAAGCCAATACCTATATGTTGGTCTTTTGACACTCTTCTGACAGATTTTGAAATTGCTATATTTTGGGACCACTGGCAGTCATAATGGAACTTAAATGATCTTACAATATCCTACGATAGTATGATATGCACACTGTCACAGGTACTGTTTGATAGTGGACTGGACTCTTCCAGACCCTCTGTGTAAGACCTTGTGTTACAGGATCAGTTATTCTTTGCTGTCTGGAATCACACTGTGCTATCGCATGTCAGTGCATTATTCATTCTAATCTTGGTTTATTGAAAGCTTTCTAGCTACCCCGATAAGACTCTGTGTGCAGTGTAGAGCTTACAATGGCAAACACTGGACTGTTGCTGGTGGTACATTAGAGAAGCAAGTACAAACTAGTTTAAAGCACAATCACTGTATAAGAGCTGCTCTGGTGAGAGGAAAGTAAGAAAGCAGGTGGAGGGAGTTAGACATGCTAACTGGCTTAGCTGCCCGATCCTATTAGCCAGGCAGAGATGCACAAAGCTGGAAAAGAATAAAAGTCAGCTCTGATGCTGACTGATGCAAATCAGGCCCGTGGTGGATTTAATTTCGGCCCGCAGGATCATTTGTAATTACTATTAGACCTGGCCCGCCGGTATATTGCACGCACACCTTCACTCCATCCTGAGGGTCTCCTCAGCTCAGAGCCTGAGCCCAAACAGTGATGGCCTTGCACCCGAGATGAGATGCCAAGTATCTGAACTAGCATCACAGAGCAGCACACTGAGTTTCATGGATGCTTCCTTCTGCACTTTCTCTCTCACGACAGCAGGGCATGTTTGGTTTTCTCTCTGAGGGGAATAGTTTTTTTGAAGCTGTTGTTGGCCTGTGGGAAAATGTACTCATAAGAAATGAGTCTGGAAAAGCTGCAGATAGAGCCATAAGAAATGAATGCAACTGATTATTTAATGTTTATTGTTTTTATTGGCAATAATTTAAGCTTTGTTAGTTCCAGGTTTAATATGTGCAATAATTTCATTTCAACAAGTTTTGCAATAAACATTGAACCAGTCCAGCCCTCGACTAGTACCCATTTATTTTGGCCCACTGTGTATTTGAGTTTGACCCCCCTACTCTAATGGCACCCACACTTAACAGGTTTATCCCTCAACAGTAGCTACTTTCAACTTGATGTTTTATCTGTAAGCAAAGGCAGTCCTAGGCTTCATGTTAACTGGCGAAGGTGGTCCAATGCATTGACGTTTACAGATTTGATTGTGCGTAAAGAGAAAGCTGGTCTTGGCCTTGGCTAGAGGTGTTGGGGGAGAAACTGTTGGGTGGTGCATCCCTGTGTCACACGGCAGCAGTAAAAACACACGAGTGTGCAGTTTTCCTGAAAGCTAAAAGTCTGTTTCCTTTCCTCCTCCAGTCTCAGGAGAACAAGACCTTCCTGTCCATGATTAATAATGTGCTGACTACAGACGGCTTCTACTTCTGCACCGACTACGACCTGACACACACACTGCAGAGGCTCTCCAACACCAGCCCCGACTTCCAGGAGATGAGTCTGCTGGAGAGGGTGAGACACACAACACACTGCCTCACAGAAGGCACCACTATATTTATGTAAATAAGTCACAAAGACTGATATTTCAAAAATAAGACCTCGTATAATACTTGAGTAGATGTACTTGAGTTACTTTCTATTACTGACTTTACAGTGCATGACATTAAGGATTTGGGAGATGGCCCTGTGGGCCATCTAAGCTAATTTACAGATGGCCCTGAGCCCAATAGAGATTGCCCTGAAAGATGCACACGGACGAAATGACGTACGAAGGGTTTGGGGGGCCTCCCCCTAGAACATTTAGATTGTTGCAGGTCTTAGATGCTGTCTGGTGCATTCTCTAGACTGAATTATAAGATGAACCACCACAATATAATATTGTTCAATTTCTTCATTTCACTTTTTTGTTTGTTCTTGTTTGTGTTTGCTCGCTTGCATGCCCTGCATAGCTATAAGAAATACTTAAGTTGTTGGTCAAGACACTTTCCATCTGATGAAGGCAAATGCCTTCCCAGATGTAAAAAAGTAGAAAACATTACATTCAGTTATAACTGCCAAAACAAACATTATTTACACTATTATGGCCCCTGTTAAAAATGTTTGTAATGTTATCTACTGTAAGTTGGTCGAATGCCTCCTCATCCGGAAGCTGACCGAGCAGACCCGAGCAGCAGTCGAGAGGAGCCGAGCGCATCCGCCAAGCACACAAAATGGCAACGTCAGAGTTCCCGTTAGCCGGCAAATCTAAATCTCTTCGGTCAAAATGTCCGGTCAAAATAATTTCCCTTTAGCGCAATACCGCTTCAGTTGCGCCACTTATGTGACAGACAAGAAGAGTATGTGACAGACAAGAAAGTATGTGACAGACATGAATAGTCCATCTAACACTTAATGTGGAGAAAGAGATGTCCTGTATGGGTTGATTGTGCGTTGATCTGTTGGTAATGCCTCGAGGTTCTGGTGGGCATGTAAACAAATGCATAATGCTGTGCTATACTTTGTGGCCTCACCCAGTTGCATAGCGACACTTATTGTTTAGGTGTCTTTTAATAAGCAGGTAGTCATATCATTAGCTAGAACTAGCTGGATCTGATCGATATGGACATAAACGCGAGTGAAGTCTAATCTGACGGGAGAGAGAGATCAGCTGCTGCTGACGAGTCGACACGCAGCTCTGCATGCTCACATGCAGCGGTGAGCGGAACAAAACATACACTTCAGGTTAGAATATCACACGTAGCTATTTTAATGACCTCTCAAACTACCTAAACTAGTTATAGATATGTTTAGTTTTACTGTCGGCTCACTCATTACTGGATCCGCGAGCTGCATGATACTGGCATAATAGATTGCCCGATCGGGCAACCAGCAGGTGAGGGCTTCATTGCCCGATCGGGCAACCAGCAGGTGAGGCTTCATTGCCCGATCGGGGCAACCAGCAGGTGAGGCTTCATTGCCCGATCGGGCAACCAGCAGGTGAGGCTTCATTGCCCGATCGGGCAACCAGCAGGTGAGGCTTCATTGCCCGAGCTAAATACTAGATGGCCCCGGGCCATCCTTAATGTCGAGCCCTGCTTTACATGATCACTCACCTCAATGGCATTAACAAGATGGACTCCAGTTAAAGAGGCCCTTTTATGCTTTTTGGGGTGTTCCCTTCCCTGTAGTGTGTTCTATAGGTTTGTGTGCATGTAAGTGGTCCCCCCCTGCCTGAAACTCATTTATTTACTACGGTAACATAGTACATCACATTAGAGCACTCGTGATTCTATTGGCTAGCACTCCAACACATTGTATGTGATAGGCTAAGGGGCGGGAGATCTCTAATGGCGCATTTCCACTGCAGGGCCTCGCTCGGCTTAGTACGGTATGGCTAGGCCTCGTTAGGTCTTGTTAGGCCAGGCTCACTTTATGCTGCATTTCCATTACAGTTTAGTAGCTGGGGCAGTAACCATAGTAACGCAGTGTAGGCGGAGCCGTAACGTCATCTTCAATGCGAAACACAAAACCAACATCAGCCGTTAGCTCTTAGCACTCAGAGCTCACAGCTCCTCATATCTGTTCAGAAACTAGACAAAAGTTAAACAAGTACAAACCACAGACTGCCTGTGTCATGGAGAATACCGTCGCTGGTTTATTTATGTCTGTATAGGCCGTTGTTGTGAGTGTTGACGGTCGGAGCATATACAACGTTAGCTTAGCCGATCTCCATTCAGAAAACACGCATTTTAAAAAGTTGTTCGTCTGCCGTCTGTCTGCAGACTTGTCAAAGCATTAATTCATGGTTTTTACTAACCGGTATCAGTATGTTGTTACTTCGGCATAATTTTGAAACGTGTATTACAATTAAATCACAGTAAAATATGTTCATCTTGTTGTAGTTGTAGCCCCCTTGCCAGCGATTCTCTCACTAGTTTAGCATACTCAGCTCGACTCAGCCCGGTTGTTGGCCCGGAAAGAACCTGGATTTTGGAGAGCCAGAAAAACTGTGAAAAAGTACCCGCTAGCCGGAACTACGCCTAGTGGAAACGCAACCAAAAACGGGCCGGGCACGCCACGCTTAAACCGCGCTGTAGTGGAAATGCGCCATAAGTGGTTGACCAATCCCAACAGAGCCGGCGAGCTAACCAATCAAGATGAACCTGAAACCTGAAGATTTTCATCGTCATAACTACACTGTATTCGTATGACAAAATAAAAACCTTGTACCTTAAAGGGCCCCGTTAATAAAAACTATAGTCTTAATCTTATTACTCAGTATTTATGTGCATGCATTGAAACATTCATTGTAAAAAAAAATGACATGTAATGTATTTCCAGAAATGTTTATTTCTTATCTTTAATTTGACTTAAACTGTTATGTTCATTTTGCACTAAAGCTTAAAAAATATTGTACATTTGTCTCACTTCACTACTCATACTTTTAGTGTTTTTTGTCTTTTCTAGCGATATGTCAATAATACAACTTTTTGTTTTGTTTACAAACATTGCAGCAGGTCATGTTGTAGAGGATTCTTCTATGTATACTTTTTTTCAAACATATACGTGACAATACATTTGTTTATTTTCATATTATTCACAATTCTTAGTAATTATAAATGTTACTATACATTCTTGCAGTTAATTGATGACAATGTTGTGTTTCTCAGGCAGATCAGAGGTTTGTGTGGAACGGGAACCTCCTGAGAGAACTGGCTGCGCAGCCTGAGGTACCACTTCGCTTTCTCACTCAATGTTTTTGTACTCATTTAATGAATGATAATAATCGTACCCACTTCTCCACAGCTTCACAAGTTTGCACTTCCTGTTGTCCATGGATGTATCCTTTTCACTGAGTTAAATATTTTCTAATGGAGCATGACTGCAGATAAGATCAGACGCATACCTGTGCCAAGCCTTTCCTTAACCGTCCTGTTCCAGTTATCGTCATGAAGCCGTGTCGAATCAACGGGAAGATCTTCGAGTGGATCCTCATCTCCAGGAGAAGCTGCTTCCGGGCCGGCGTCAGATACTACGTCAGAGGTAAAAATGTCTGCTGTACTGCACCAAGCCTTGTGGATTTGGGCTTATTGACCATTACAGAGTGCAAAAGTAGCAGCTGCCAACTCAGGCCCAATTCCAATCCATCCCCTAGGGTGAACTCTGTTCCTTAGTCTCACTCTCAGCTGAATGAGGCTACCTCTTTAAGACAGAGGGTGTAAAAACAGCCGCAAGGAAAGGGGAAAGGTGGAAATCTTTTCGTAACCGTATTTTAAGTCGGCATCTCTTGGATGAAAAATAATAATTTAATTAATTTAAAAAAGTGGTATTTCTTTTTGTAGTAAACATCTTCTTGTTTTTAAATCTGATGTTTATGAGCTGCGTCTAGATTGCAAAAGTTCCTGTAAATATACAAAACTTCACAATAAACTTCTATCGTTTTTCCTTCTGAAGGGTTTAATAACTTCCTATTGGGTTTAATAACATCCTGTTGGGTATAACAACTTCCTGTTGGAGGGTGTAATGATCTCCTGCCCAAGGGTTTAATAGCTTCCTGTTTGAGGGTTTAATTATTTCCTGTAGGAAGGTTTAACAACCTCCGCTTAAAAGGTATAACGACTTCCTGTCGGAGGGTGTAACGACTTCCTGTCGGAGGGTGTAACGACTTCCTGTCGGAGGGTGTAACGACTTCCTGTCCGAGGTTTTAAATAACTTCCTGTCGGCGGGCGTAATATCTTCCTGTTGGGAGGGTTGGAGGATGCACTACGACTTCCTGTCGGCGGGCGTATATCTTCCTGTTTGGAGGGTTGGAGGATGTAACGACTTCCTGTCGGCGGGCGTAATATCTTCCTGTTGGAGGGTGTAATAAACTTCCAACTCCCAACTAGTTGGTTTGAATAATGGAACCCTAATGTGTAAACGTAGTACTAGGGAGAGAGTGTTTGGGGCTAGATTGGAATTGAGCTATATAAGGTAAGGTTATACACCTCACAGTACTGAGACTACTGACTGCTCATGGATGTTTTCTGTGCTGCTCTCTCTCAGGCATCGACTCTGAGGGCCACGCTGCTAACTTTGTGGAGACGGAGCAGATCGTTTTGTATGAGGGAGCAAAGGCTTCATTTATTCAGGCAAGTACGAGGGCTCATAAACACACGTTTCTGTGCACCCTTTGTCAGATATTTAAAGAAGTTGAGAAGATTTCAGAAAATGACCTTCAAGGCAAAACATTTTTTCCCTCTCCAGACTCGAGGCTCCATGCCCTTCTACTGGAGTCAGAGGCCCAACCTGAAATACAAAACCTAAACCTATAATCAGCAAAACCACTAATCACGTAAGAGCAGCTGTTTTCATGTGCTTTTAATGGTGTGGTGGGAAAAATCCAATGCTAAACTCTTGAAAACTTTGTACAGATGGATGGTTTCCAGAGGCATTTTGACTCTCAGCTGCTTATCTATGGGAAGCAAACCCTTCTGAACCTGGTGAGGATGGTTAATAACCTGTATACATGTTTTGTTTAAGGTCTTCACTCCATCCCTCCCCATTACAGACCTCTGGTAGGATACAAGAAAACCACATGCTGTGCTTTAGAATGTAAAACATGGGGATTGCATGGTGAGAGCTTCTGTTCTGAAAACTGTTTAGAAACCCTCTTTTTGTCGTTACATCTAGTAAAAGCTTTGCATCCCCTGAATGCCCGCAGGCTGTAGTTTGTGGCTGTAAAATGTCATGAGGCTATAACTATCATAGAGCCCACAACTGCTCATGTGACGCAGCGAGGTCAGGTTTCTCACTACTACAGAGACTAATGTCATCACACATGAATACAAATTGTGCTCATTGATCCACAAAAGTTTCTTTTTCCTATTGATACCCAGTTTGTGCAATTTTTAAGATGCAGGAGTATTCTAAAACAACATATTTATACTGCATGTGAAAAACATTTCAATCAGATATCTTGAGGTGAGCTGTTAAGAGGACCCTGTAAATATGGCCATGCTAGTTGTTCCCACGCTAAAATGTAGCCTTACTTATTATGAAGTTATTTAGCCTTCTTTGCGACAAGCTGACGCAACATGATCATGCCGTTTCAGATGATACCAGCAGCTTTTAAATCAAAGACTGTCGCAGACATTCATGCCCTAGCAGAGTGGAAGAGGCCAATTAGTGTTTTCTTGTTTTTTGCAGGTGAATCAGAAAGGCTCCGAGAAGCCTCTAGAACAGGCCTTTGATAAGATGGTGTCTGGCATGAACAACGGTATGCTCAAGTAAGTGTCACCAGTAAGGTATTATGTAGCTTATATCTGTGTAAACATGCAGCTGCCCCTGAACTGCACTTTGTACCGCTTTTCTTCTGTGTGCAGAAAGAGAGAGAGATGTGCCGACACACAGGGACAGCTCATACTTTCCTCCCAGCATGAATGTGTATACATTTAAAAATACTAAAACAGACTTATTAAGATTATTTGGGAGGCAACTTTGTGTTTGTTTCACTTTGAATTAGATTGATTTATGTCTAATTGTGTATCCTTTCATCCACCTACTTCACTGATAATTCCCCGGAGGGACAGAAATCAGCTGAATGCAGAGAGCTGACTGAAAAGCAGTTCCTTTTGGAGATTGTTTCATTTGAAATGAAACAAAAAGGCTGCTGCTTATATTGCGATCCAGGAGGGCTGCATACAAAGATAAAAGATCACATAAACTTCCTCCATTCAATAAGTAACCACAAGAGCTTGGGGTCAAACAACTTTGCCGCTTCCCATCGATCATCCGCTGTGTCCACATTGTCCCTGTCCATTAGACATTCATGTCATATCCTGCCTCATGAAGCCACAGCACATATGCATTGACAGCAGACAGACTTAAAGGTCACCTGTTTGGTCAAAATCAGCTTCTGCTTACATGTCTCTTCTACATCAAACTGTGTCCCCCTCGTTCTTCATCGTCTCTTCTACCTCAACATGTGTCCCTTCTTCTTCTTCATGTCTCTTCTAACAATCAACATGATGTCCCAACAAAAGAGAGTGGGGAAATTGCTCTTCTTCCTAGGCTCTTCGAACATCACTGTGTCCCCTCTTCTTCATGTCCTCGTCTACATCAACATTGTGCCCCTCGTCTTCATGTCTCTCTACATCACACATGTGTCTGTCTCTCTCTCTA